GTAGACTGCTGGTTGACCTCGCATCGGTGAATACATCTCATATTACTGATTTACTGTTAGTCTCGAACCTACTTAAGTACGAAAAATAAGTAACGTAGTCGATTGTTTTAGCAAATATACGTTTGCTTCATCCACAATACCACCAAAGAATATAATATGGCAAAAGGCCTGGCCTTCCTTGAAATTCACATTTGCACTATGACCCAAGGGTACTCGTGGCAATGTGACCGAATGGTTAACGTGTCAAGCCCCCATTCTGCACTTTCACGGTTCGAATCTCGCTGGGGGGTGTTGATAAGACCGATGCAAGGTCGAAACTGCAGTCCATCCTGGATGAGAACAACTTTTGGGAGAGCAAGGCTATGTGAAATTCAATGGAAACGTCAGCTCTACTCTTATCATTGTGGGAAAATTATACCACCAGTCCTTCATTACCTTAAACGAAAAGGAGTGAATACATCTCATATTACTGATTTACTAGTAGTCTCGAAACTTTACTTAAATACGAAATATTTTATAGTGTTGGTTAGACCTCGTTTTCGCAATTTGATAGGAGCATTAGAAAGATCTTGGGGAACGTATCTAGTCCTGTGTCCTCAGTCAAAGCACTCGCAATTTCCAGCATTTGATTAGATTTTAATTTTATTGTTTTTAAATTTAGGTGCTACCAGTACTTCAACGTTCCTTGTTCTATGACGAAAAGTCCGGAGAACATAACTATGGCACCAATGTCCGTGATTCTGCTTGCTACGTTGCCTGGGCTTTTGCACGTGCATTTCATCGGAGTGACTTGGCTCCATATGTTAGCTCGGTCTCTTCGTCTCTCCTTTTGGTTGCATTGTTTGATCGTGAGGTCAATGTCCGACGAGCCGCGGCTGCTGCGTTTCAGGAGAATGTTGGGAGACAAGTAAACCGTTATGTTTCTGAGCTGCCCATTTTATTTTTTTAGATTTGATAATTTATTTTATTTATTTTCTCTTATCATAAAGGATTTGAATATTATAAATATAAGTAATTCTTTTAAATTTCTGCTCTATCTCCATCAAAAAGATATTTTGTTCTGACACTCAGTAGTTTGCATTCAGGGCATTGCTAATCACTATTATTTACTGGAGTGATAAACCTTCGTTTTTATTTTGATGCTCACTATAAATTCTTCTCTATCATTCCGAGATCGCGTGGTTAGTACTTAGAACTTCAGTGATCCTAGGTCACCTTAGGTGGTTTAAAGGCTGGTATCGCAATTTTCCGTAGTTTTATGAGAAGGCCCCATGACGCCATTAACTTTCACTTGGCTTTGCCTTGCACAAGGTGTTCTCAAATTGCGTTAATTACAGTTTCGACCTTGGCAGGATTCTGGTAATTTGCTCATACGATGCTCATAATCCTGATTTTTATCTCAGGAGTACCAATGAGATCTTGGTTAGGTGAAAAACTTCAGTCCAATCTGGTTAAGGAAAACTCTAGGGAATCAAGGCTAATTTACTTTCAACAGCACCGTCAGATTTACTCGTTTCATGATGGGAAACTTCGCTATCAGTCTTTAAATCGCATTAAGTTTCCCAATGGTACTAAAGTTTTTATTTGAGAATTAGTGATAGCTTCGAGACATCTTAAAGAAAATTATCTTACTATGTCCATGTGAAGTTGCATGAGACTAGATTTCCTGCAAATAATTAACTATTAAACCCGCGTTTTTTGCAGCTATCATTCTCCACATTTAAAAATGTAATGATTAGACCAAAATTTTGTTTATAACCTTGTCACTTGTATGACTTTCCTGATATGCAGTCCCACCCCTCTTATTCTATTTTAATTTTATCTAATTAGATTTCTATCAATAAGCTGAACAAACTCCGATGCGACCATGCCTTAATGTTGTTTTTGATTATAATACTTTTTGAGAATACTCTTAGGGGGCAAGATTGAATGAAATTCAATGGCATCGTGAGGCTCACTCATACCATCTC